TAAATCGGGTTGTTTATTTTGAAATATTTTAGAAAAACCATACATATGCTTTAAAAACTTCCCACCTTAAATTTTTCGAAAACTGGAAGAATTTGGAAAAAAACACGGATACACGTAAAGTTTTATATCGAGGGGGACAACTTTTGGCGCTACTACTACTGCTACTGCTCCTTGAGTTCTGCAACCCCTAACTGAAAAATCCATAATTGCAAAAGGTATCATGTGGCTCGTTTAATTTGCAATACAACTGTATAGTTAGTTATTTATTGGTTGGTTCTCAAGAAAAAAAATATTTATTGTTTGTTTAATATTTTTAGGTCAAATGTTCAAAATGTCCCCCGTTCTTTTGCAAACAATAATAAAGCCTGGATTCAAAACCCTCCCTCACATTACGGAACATCGCTGGAGTTATTTGACGGCACTCTGTTATAATCCGTAGACGTAGGTTGTGTCACGAAAACTTTCGACTTAAGGTATTCCCACAAAAAAAATAGAGTGGATTTAAGTCAGGTGATCGGGCAGGCCACTCTACAGGACCTCTCGGCCCAATCCAACGTTCAGGATATCGCATATCTCGATGCCGACGAACTGGAGCTGCGTAATGAGGAGGAGCGCCGTCTTGTTGGAAATGTAAGTCCTGTTTAGCAAGCAAGGGATCATCTTCCAAAGTTTGGGTTATCAAAGCATCAATTTCATTTTCCATCATGTTTAGATACATTTCGCTGTTCAAATTACCTTGAATAAACAGAGGTCCAATTAAATGGTCCCCCAAGATTCCTGCCCAAACATTCAACTTCTGCGGATGTTGAATATGAACTTCCCGGTATAAATGAGGATTTGCATCAATCCAAAACCTGCCGATGGACCTTGCCATTAAGTGAGAAAGTTGACTCGTCCGAAAAGCAAATGTTGTGCAAAAAATTTTGATTTTGAATAAGACGGTCACTCATGATTTCGCAGAATTTCTGTCTTTTATCGAAATTGTCTTCATTTAATTAACGTACCAGGCGAATTTTGTAGGGATAAAACTTGTTTTTATGTAAAATTCTAAACACGTTAGTGCTGCTCACAGTTGCAGATATTTGCCGTATTGACTGCGTATTTGGCATAAGCTGGATATGTCCCAATACCGTCACAGCTCCTTCGTCATGCAAAAATTGTCTGGAAGACTTTTTTTTATTTCAAACTGAACCCGTTTCAAACAAATTTTGATATTAATTCTCCGATGTATTTGTGGCCAAACAGTGGCGATCGGGGTGATTTTCGTTGAACACCCTTGCAGTTTCGATCACATTTTTGATAATGTGTACACCACATTTAAACAATTAAGCAAGGTAAGAATAGTAACTTAACTGTTCAAATATTAGCGTTTTTAGGTAAAAAAATTAGTTGGAAGTATTTATAATTATTTCAGAAAATATTTCACAAAATTGTAAACGGCGGTCATTATCATCTTCAAGCAATTCTTGAAGAAGTTGAATTTTATATGGGTGCCATTTATTATATTACAGAAACTCCCGTTATATCAGAAAGTTTTCTGGTATTTAATGTAGGACCCTTCACCCAAAACGGCTACTTCTACTGCCTCATTTCTCACAGTATTTTCAATATCTCGTTTTTTATTTGCCACTGAACCAGTTAATTAGGATGTAACTATGATGAACGTGTCTATTTGCACGCCTCTCATTAAACAAAGTTGCTATTACTCTTGCACATTTATTTTTTATAAAATACAGTTTAATAATGTCCGCAATAGAATAAACTATTTTTGATCGAATCGAAAGAAAATAAAAGCACAGAAATAACAAACTATCAACACCAACTACTTTACTAAAGATAAGGTCGATATTTGTTAGTTTATTATTTCGGACAATATTTCACAAAATTGTAAACGGCGGTGATTATCATCTTCAAGCAATTCTTGAAGAAGTTAAATTTTATATGGGTGCCATTTATTATGTTTCAGAAACTCCCCTTACATCAGAAAGTTTTCTGGTACTTAATGTAGGGCCCTTCACCCAAAACAGCTACTTCTACTGCCTCATTTCTCAACGTATTTTCAATATCTCGTTTTTTATTTGCAACTGAACCAGTTAATTAGGATGTAACTATGATGTACGTGTCTATTTGCACGCCTCTCATTAAACAAAGTTGCTATTACTCTTACACATTGATTTTTTATAAAATACAGTTTAATAATGTCCGCAATAAAATAAACTATTTTTAATCGAATAGAAAGAAAATAAAAGCACAGAAATAACAAACTATCAACATAAACTACTTTACTGTAGATAAGGTCTATATTTGTTAGTTTAAAAACAATTTTTTTAACGAATTTTTGCTCTACGAAATTTGTAAATAAACGGTCCAGTAAAATGTTGGAAATTCCATTGCTCGGCAACGCGTGGCATAAATTTAAAAAACCATGGTGCATGCATGCACTATTTAATTTCCTTTTAAAAAAAGTATCGCAACATACCCCTTCCTGTTTGAATGCTGCCCCCGATAAGGGGTTAAGGTTACAGTGATGAAATTAATGTGTAAATATGTCCCCCTGAAAACAAAAGTATACTGGTCCGAAGATTTTTTTTATTTTTTAAGAAATCACTTAGTGTCATAGAAACTTGTACGCTGCCGTGCTTAATGAAAACGCCGTAACCAACAATTTTGCAATTTTTGATTTACGGCATTTTCTACTAGAAAAATTCATCCTGCATCTATCCCCGGTATTCAAAAAACCGTATTTATATATATACGGTTTTTTGAGTACCGGGGATAGACGCAGGATGAATTGTTCTAGTAGAAAATGCCCTAAACCAAAAATCGCAAAATTGTTGGTTACGGCGTTTTCATTAAGCACGGCAGTACGATAATGAGCTTTGTAAAGGTGGGAGTAGAAAAAAAATGTTTTAAGAATACTTGAGAAACTATTCAATAGCCAACCAACGATAAATAATTATTTTATATTTTTAGATGGATAAAATTTGTTGTAAACCAATAAACTGACATAACATTTATATTAGAATTCAGGCATTAGGTTATTAAGTCTAATCCATCAGAGCTTTATAGTTTTTGATACTGTAATATTGCTATGTAAATGCAAATTCTGGACCTATTGATAACTTATAGATGGTTATTTGCGACAAAACCTAAATTTTACAGGAGAGATTTTTTTGTGTGGTAGCTTTATTTTTAAAGTTATTTATCTGAAAACTGGTGAGGCATTATTTTATTAATGTAGAATTCAAATATTTAAGTAAGATCCAGAAGAATCCAATCTAAAATTTTCATTAAATTTTGTGGCATACGATACGAACATCTTTAGGAAAATGTAAAATTAGTCTTGTCGCTTAAGTTACATTTACGTTACTTTGTGGGATATAGATTTGATGATTACTTTTGTCAAAACATCGTTAGCAACATTTATTTTTTTCTACTTTTATTATTAAATAAAAAAAAATTACAAAAAAATTAATTTATAAAATATCACCAACGATATTTTGCCAAAAAATGTTTGAAAATGAAATTCTACATTAGCTTTCTTTGAAAAAAAACGAACGATTTTTATTCACAAACCAGTATATAACCCATGGAGCCTACACAAGGAGCCCGAACTTAATAGGGAAAATTGACAAAACCTGCCCTCTAAATTGTACAAATTAAGTTTCTTTTTTTCACCACCAGCAGCGCTGATTGTCGATGCTAGCGTTTCGGTACAAATTAAAGAATTGTTTCAGAATAAACGGAACACCAGCACCCTCTTATCTTAGGAAGATTCTTGTTTACATGATGTTCGGACTCCTTGTGTAGGCTCCATGATCTAACCCATGGTACCATCATCTAACCGTTATAAATTTGAGTCAAATTATTTGACGCTAGAACAACATACAGAACAACTACAAAAAACACTTTTAACGAACCACACTACGTAAAAACAATTATAATTAGGATTAATAATGCAATAAAAAAAGGATTTATAAGCTTTTGATCAAATAAAATATTGTTGTTACTTGGTAACAATCACCACGGTGCAGGTATACTCACGAGTAAACTGTTTAGAGCGGGAATAACGCCTTGATAGATCAAGGCGGGAGCACAATATTATCGTAAGCGACACAATGTTAAATCGCAAACGCCATGTCTCGGAGTTGCTTACGATTATTTGTCGGGAACATATAGGCGCTTACGTTATAAATCGATAACAAATTAAAAAGAAGAGGCGCTTACAATAATAAAAATATTCAAACTAACCAATATTAGATTCCAAAATTGGGATAACTATTATGTTAACATGTGCAGCTTATCGTAACTGACACTTTGATAAAAAGTAACTCAACAAAATTGTCGCTTACGATGTTTTGTCAAATAACCATCGTTATATCTGGCACACAATTGCATTGAAATTTAATTCGATGTTAATCGAGTTACTTTGCAAAATCTTTTGGGTAATATTTTAAGTTAATATTTGATAATAAAAAATAATGTCTAAACATCAAATATTTGTGTACCTTAATATCCAATATCTTAATGGTGTTTATTGTCCAACTTCATGTAGCAAATAACGTAGCGAACGGCAACTTAACGTTTATTAATTAACATTAATTAGTAATTTAATTTTATATATTCTATCGCTAAATAAAACGTGAAGCTCAGGAGAAAACTTTCTTCTTAGACTTGCCATTTTAGTGATATTTAAACTTTGATCGACGAGTCAAATAATTAAATTATATGCATCAAAGGTTCTCTCCAACTAAATAATTTCCCTTTAGTTAGAAAATACACAAGATTCGACTAATTATACGTTTCCGCTTTTATATTACGCTACCATCGTTTTGTTATACGCAAATAAATTTAAAAATACCATGACTGTCAGTTTACCTCTGTTGCCTTTTCAATCATTTCACAGAATCTTTAACACTTTTATCAAAGCTTTATTCGTAATTAAAAAGCTAAGTTTGCTTTTAGCATAATATTTTTAAAAACATTGTTTTAATACTTACAAAAAGTTTGAATGGTGCCATCAGTCTCCCCAAGGGAATTCTTAGAAACACATTTATAGTTTCCATAGTCGTTCGGTGATATCGATCTTATAGTTAACTTCATGTGGATTTTGTAACCATTTGTTATAAAAGAAGGTTCGAATTTACCACCTGAAAGGAAAACATTATTTATTTTGTTGGATGTAAAGCGGGATTATTATGCTTTTGTAATTTAAATTGAATACAAAAAAAATAAAGTAATTATGTTTTAATTTAAACCTATCAAATTTGTTTTTACTGTTTTTTATTGCATAATTACACTTTGATAATGCTATAAATCTATTAAAAATAATTAGAAAAAAATAATAAATACTTAGTAGGTACTACTTTTGTATCTGGTTCTTCACAAATAGCAAGCTCAGTTGCATTACGTAGAGTCATTACGTCGTTGACCATCAATATCACGTAATGTAAACTTTCAATTTTCTAAGATTTTTTAAGAAACTTTCTTGACCCATTACTGGTAATATTCATAAGAAAAAATTGAACCTACACCTCGCCAAAGTTTTTTGTTTTGAGTGCGTTCCACCAACTTCAAATACCGACAGACAACTGTTTCGACCTATATTGGGTCTCATCAGTGTCGGGCAACTTGGTGTAGTGGAACACACTCAAAACAAAGGACTCCCTGAGCTTATATGCTCGGTTGGTAAGCCAACACGTAATCTTCTATGAGTTTGTCGTACTAAAAACCGATTAAAAAAAAGGTTTAAAAGATACGGAAGCGTTTTTACATTTATTTATAATGATTTAATACATTACTCAATGTAAATGTCAAAATTTGGTCAAATATAACAACACGCTTTAAAATTTATTCATATTCCTATTAGTCTTAAAAAATAACCTTTATAAAAATAAAATGTTAATTTTTTTTTATAATTTAACCGTTTATTGTTAAAACAAGCTAAGTGACATTTTTATATTACGTACACTTATTATTTTTTTTGTCAGAAATATTAAGATATTACAACAGATATTTTTATGTCAAACTATAAGGATAAACCATCATAAGTTTTTATGCTATAATTGTTTAAATTGAAAATTAATAAAATGCTATTCAGTGGTTTAAACAATAAACGATAAATATTTAGTTTTTATTTTTTGATACAAACTGTCAGAAACTACATAATATGTTAACTGTTGGTATTAAGATATTAAAAGAGATGCTTTTATGTCAAACTATACGCACAAGTCCACCATTATTAGTTTTTATGCTATAATTTTTTAAATTGAAAAATAATAAAATCCCATTAAGTCAGTGGTTTTAACAATAAACGATTAATTTTTAGTTTTGATTTTTTGACACAAACTGTCAGAATCTACATAATATCATGACTGACTGACTTCTTCACTCAACGATAATATGTTAACTGTATCTTAAAATCTGTATAAACTTCTTAATTTAGCTATTTAGTTTAATAATACGTAATATATCAAAATACAAAAAATACTAGGTATACATTTCTATTTAATATTTAGTCCCCTGACTTTTAGTTTTATTCTTTAAAGGACTGTCATGTCAAAACTAGGTGGAAGAAATATCTTTGATTGTTTGCTAAAATAATTAAAAATTGAAAAAATTGTTCTCTTGCTGTTTTTTTACATTTTTATTAGCTGCTGGCAAGGGCGACCACAGAAAATTGTCTAGGGTGGGGCAAAAACTATAAATGACAGTCGAGAAATCTAAGACAAATATTTTTTATTAAACAATTTAGAAACATTTAGTTGAACCTGCTTAACTTCGATATTTATTTTTGTACCAAGTTAAGAGCAAATAGGGACCAAGAAGAAATAAAAAAATACTTTTTACTACCTTATTTTTATTTATGAATAATGCAATACTAACAATATCAAAACAACAAACAAAAAAATAAAAACACAGTAACAAAGGAACTTATAAGTTATTAAAATAAAATAAATTTGGTTAAAGCTTTTAAATCGAAAAAAACTTAAAAAAACAACAATTAAAAATAAAAAAAAACATTCCAAAAAAATATTTGTAGAAACCAAATCCTGAATATAGGAAAGAGCTGGTATACGAACTTAGGTATATTATTTTATTTTCAAACTAAAACTAAAAAAGGTTATTTATGCGCAAAGAGTTTCAGTCTTCTTGACTCTTTAGCAAATTCATTTATTGCACGTTCTAAAATGTTTTTTATTATTATTAATGACCATTTAGCCGATCTTTGCTTATTGTTGAACGAAGCTGTTACACGTCTTAAAGTGCTAAACGATCTTTCTATAGTTGGGGATAAACACACTGATATTTCTAAAGCTTTAGCAACAGCGGGTTTTTGTAGAAGTATACTTCCTTTAGGAAGTAGCTAATTGCTATTAGCAATATCCAATTTGCTAATTCAAGATCTCTGATATATTTAAAATATGATCATATTTTCGAAAATATTTTATTTTGATAATAAATGTGAAGAAATTTCCAGGGGGGGCAAGTGCCCCCTCTTGCCCCCCTCCTCTGGGCGCCCATGGCTGCTGGGACAATTTTTTTATTATAATTTGTAAAAAAATAATAATAATATAGGTGGATGGGTTTTATAACATGTTCTGTTAGTGTTCTGTTAACAGGACACTAACACAATTTTGTATACGAGGTGTGTTCAGAAAATATCGGGAATTTTAGTTTTTTGAAACAAATATTTATTTATTCGTCTACATTAATGATGTCGCCTTCAAAATAGTCCCCATTGGATATTATGCACATGTGCCAGCTCTTCTTCCAATACTCGAAACACTTATAAAACTCGATCTTTGGGATGGCCTTTAGTTCTTTCAGCGATGCGCTTTTAATGTCATCTATGCTTGCAAAACGACGGCCCTTTAAGGTTCTCTTTATTTTTGGAAATGGGAAAAGTCAGACAGAGGCATGTCTGGCGAATATGGAGGCTGGGGCATCATTACAGTATTGTTTTTGGTCAAAAATTTTGTTGAAAATTTAACATCCACGGCCATCTTGGAAACTCTTATACCACTTGTAAACTCTTGTTTTACTTATAGCAGACTCACTCACATTTCACAGAATTTATTTCATTTTTTAAGCATAATTGGATACAAATTCTTTGATCCATTTCTTTTAACGAACGAAAAATCGCCGAGCTATAAAACACCTCTAACCTTAGCGGTTGCCACAGACAAAGTAAACAATGAAAACAGCTAAATTTTTTATCATACTTCGGGGGCATGTATACCAACATAATAAAGAAAATTTTATCACAACCGGAAACCCGGAAACCCGCGAAATTTAACAATTCCCGTTATTTTCTGAACACACCTCGTGTTTTTTAAACTTGAAAATTTTTGTACAAAACTTTAATTATAGTTTTGTTCTTAAATGAGCTCCTCTATCATATGGTGTGAAGTGAGTTAGTAATATTTTGAACACTGTACATAAAAATATAATACAATTCACGGTATTTTCTAGCGTCACACATAATATACAACGTAGCCAGATCTTTGTGTTGGGCTGTTTTATAATTTTCAAACACAATGGCACAAGTATGCAATAAATTCTTGCTCGGGTTTCCTTTGAATTTGTCTGCCGGTAAAGTGCATAGAAAATTGGGGCACTTGCAACATCCGGTTTCGGAGTTCAAAGTTCCAAAGGCCAATTATTAATTACATAACCTGTTTCAACGATTTGATTTGCCGGGTAATTCACATCGAATTTAATTGTCTTTAACTCGGCGATATTACTATTTCAAATTAACAAAATGGATGTTTAACTACGAAACATTAATGTCTTTATATAAAGAAAAATATCTTAAAAGCTATTTATTTGTGAATAGCATCGAGTGGCCGACATGTAGAAGATTTTGTCTTAAAAAGAGCAATAATAAATCATTCAAAAAGTAGAGCTTATCCGAAAAACTCTTTTATAAATGTAAATATAAAGAATTAATTTTTAACGATACATCGTAAATCATAAATATAGAAATATCACCTTGGTTTTTGTATCACTTATAATAAAAAAGTACTAACTTTGAGAAACAATTTCTCCTTTCTCGGTGGTCCAGTAGTTAATGGACTTAGGAAATGCCTCAGAATAACAGTCTAAGGTAATTTGCTGCCCTTCATAGGCTCCGACCAGCTGGTTTTGGATCCAAATCATTGGAGAAACTGAAACAGAAGTAAATTACTTTTTTTTATTTTTTTATTAAATAATGTCAACTAAGTATTATTAATTTTCAAAATTTTTTATTAAATATTTTTACGAACTTTAATTAAATTGATAAAAATTTATTTTTTCGTGTTATGCTTGTTTAAAAGCTTATAAAAATATGAGGCTTTTAATAAAAATATTTTCACAAAAATTTCCGAGAAACGAAATATTAAAAATATTTCAAGTATTATCCCAAAATAATAAAATCATTGTTTTTTATATTTTTAATTTTACATTTTTTTATTCACCACCATATTATAAAACAACACACAATACACGTATACAAAATTGTATACTTTTAAATCTAGGCCTAAATAAATATATGAATACAAATTTTAAATGTACCTGTTCCTTATGAAATTAGTTAATTGTCTTAAAAATATTTATTTTACTTAATATATTTTTATACGTGCAGATTTTACAAATTTTAAGTAAAATAATATTTTATTTACATATCCCTTATATAGTTATTTTAACCTTTATGGAAAACTGTCAAAAAATTTCCCCACTAATGGTTCTTTCTGACCACCCCCCTGGTAACGTCACAAATTTAAATTTTATCTGGAAATTTGAATGAATATTTGTATAAGTCTAACATGACGTCACGTAATTAATGACCCCCTTCCCCTCTTCACAAGTTAAATATGTCCGGCTAAAGGAACATTAAACCTTAAACCTTAAAACTGCAAAATTGGGTCTGTGGTTTTGATTTCTTGGGGTTGCTTGAAGATCTTTTTTACTTTAGCTTTTTTTTTAAACAATTCGTTGAATAAACTTGTTTTTTTACTTTGGCAAGGTAAATGTTTGTTTAAGACCTTTTATTGGTCAAAACTACACAATTTTTCAATAATTTAATTTAAAAAAACTTATAAATCCCAAAAAGTATAAAGTTGCCTAATTTGGGATGGTTCCTGTTTTTCAATTTCCCCTATCCGAAATTATAAATAACTAAAAATAATTAAGAAGGAAAGGGAAAACATTCGAGGGCGTATTTTACTCATAAAAACAATGAAAAAAACCTAAACGTTGCTATTGTTTTCGAGATATAAGGTTTTGAAAATTATGTTTTCTTTTTATTTGTAGACGTAGTGGAAAATGCGTAAAGGTGAAAGGTGGTATTTTTGTGCAGTTATAATAGAAAAAACAATAATTAATATTAATAATTAATATTGTGTAAATTATTGTGGATTTTTTTTTCAATTCTTCTATTTCGAAAAAAAAAATCGTATAAAACATTTTAGTTCTTTATTGTTTTATGGGTAGAATATACCTTTAATTTTCCGGCTTACCCTGTATATTTATATTACATGTAACTAAAAAAATTGGTTTATTAATTTCATATGGGATGTCCAAAATTGGGAGCCCAATCTGAAATTCCGCAAAAATTGCACTATAACATTATTGCAGCTATAACTGTAACAACTTTATACAGCCCGTTCAGAGTAAAACCGAATATATCTATATATATATATGGGGCGTGGCCTCGCCTCCCTCCAAGGCGCGTTACAGTAGCTTTTGTGATAAACGACATGACGAAAGGTCGAGCAGGTAAGACGACTTAAAAAATTAAATGATAATAATGCAAAAAATCTCATTAGCGATGCAGGCTATTTGCTTAGCTACTGTGTCGCGCGTTGGAGGGAGGCGAGGCCACGCCCCATATATATACACTGATCGTTTTTTGAAGTGGTTCGCCAAAAAAATTATTCCACTTTGATAGGTTGTAACTTTTGAATGGATGGACGTATCTTGTTAATTTTTTTTTGTTAGAAAGGGCATTTCTTTAGCAGTAAGTGTGCACGACTGCATTCATTTGTCCTGATTTAAAATAATTTTACAGGGTGATTTGTAAAGCTATGATTTTAACATTAAATTTATTAATGTGCAGGAGGTAAATGGGTCACCCTGTATAATTTATTTTAAGGTCATCATAGAGCCTTACGTCTTAGCTCTGCGTGCTTTTTTGGATTTTGGTCATACCTCAATAGCCTTGGAAGATATTAATTTTTCTTTCACTTCATGTCTATGTGCGTAAAAAATCGAGATATCCTTGGAAGTAATAATGTTTTGACATGTGTCAATTTAATTGTTTGTAACAATGCCGCGTCTACAAGGTGCAATTCTTGAAAGAATCATAGGAATGGTTTTAGCTGGTGTCTCTCAAAGGGAAGTAGCCAAACGCTTTAATATTGCATACAGTATGGTTAATCGCGCTTGGAAACGATACGAAAACAATAACTCTCCGCAATATAGACACGGAGGAGGGCGTCAAAGAGTAACAACTCCAGCAGAAGATCGTCTTCTTAGGAGAACCGCTTTGCAGAACAGAAAAACTAATGCTACCCAACTAAAACGAGCATTGCACCTGGCTACCGGAAACATGATTTCAACACCCACAATAAGAAAAAGATTGCATGAAGGTGGACTTCACTCCAGACGGCCAGCTAGGCAATGAAATGACTGGGCCCAATGTCTTTTCACAGATGAATCACGGTTTTCTGAGGATCCCGATACCAACCGCATGCGTGTGTGGCGGAGAGTGAATGAACGTTACGAAGAAGATTGTACGGTTGGCGTTACACCTTTCGGTGGTCGTTCAATTACAGTTTGGGGAGGATATCAATAGACCGTCGTACTGAACTTGTACTTTTCAGACAGTTAATGCTTTACGATACTTGGAAAGAATTCTGGAACCAATAGTTCTCCCTCTGTCCCATCAAATAGGTGAACAGTTTGTATATGTATATACAATATATATATATCCATATGGATTATAACGCAAGACCGCATCGAGCCAACGTGGTAAATGAATTTTTCCAACGAGAAAATATCACCAGAATGGAATGGCCGGCGCTTTGGCCGGACCTCAACCCTATTGAAAACGTGTGGGATGCGCTTCAAAGAAGGATGTTAGATCGCCAAATTGAACCACATGGAATTGAAGAGCTGGGAATTGCTCTTCAACAGGAATGGCAAGCCATTCCGGGTGACCTCATCAATAATGTCATCAGGAGTATGCCTTAAAGATGTCAGGAGGTGATAAGGAGTAGAGGGGGCCCTACCCATTATTGATTATTTTTTATTAACAATTCGTTATTCATTATTATTGTTATTGTTATTGCTTTAAAAATTAAAATAAAACTTTTTGACTTTCATGTGTACTTAAGATGGTTAAAAAATCATATCTTTTAAAATAAATGACGTAAGACCAAAATCCAAAAAAGCACGCAGCGCTAAGACGTAAGGCTCTATGATGACCTTAAAATAAATTATACAGGGTGACCCATTTACCTCCTGCACATTAATAAATTTAATGTTAAAATCATAGCTTTACAAATCACCCTGTAAAATTATTTTAAATCAGGATAAATGAATGCAGTCGTGCACACTTACTGCTAAAGAAATGCCCTTTCTAACAAAAAAAAATTAACAAGATACGTCCATCCATTCAAAAGTTACAACCTATTAAAGTGGGATAATTTTTTTGGCGAACCACTTCAAAAAACGATCAGTGTATATACAGATATATTCCGTTTTACTTTGAACGGGCTGTATTTGTTAAATTTGTTTGTGATAAAATTGTTTTGATATTAAACTTTGTTTTTGTGTAATGCATTGCATGAACAACATTATTTTACAAGATGTTAGAGTATTTTGATAGATATAAAAAATGTTTGTACATATAAAATCTAATTTTATTTAAATTTACTTTTTATAATTTTTAATTTGATATATAAATTTTTTAAATTTTTTTATATACTCAAATTATCTAAATTATTACGCAAAACTGCAATGCAAAATTTACAAAACTATTTAATATCGCTTAAACATAAAACTTTTTTGAACATATTTAAACTCAAAAGTTAATGAACTGGTTGATGGCTATATATAAAATATTTAATTGAAGTTTTCCCCGATTCTAATAATTATTATCCTTTCAACATAGTCCAATAAATGTAAAACAACCACACGAGGTTGTTCCTTGTCAATAGGTCGTTAAGTATAGGTTTGTAAAAAATATATACATGCCCTATTTTTCGATAAAACTTACAGTGTACGATTAACATGATGCGTTTGCTCACTGATGGTGGTATTCCGTTGGATGCGATGCAAAGGTACGGGCCCATTTGTTGCCTGCTCACCCTGCTTATATTCAAAACTGGCCCTTCCACGCTCAACACTGAAACAACACAAGCGAAACGGGAATTAGGTTAATCAACGTACAATGCACAGTGAGATCATGCTTTTATAAACTTTTAAATATGCCGGAAACGATCGATATGAAATCGCATAAGTTATTTTAGTGGTAGAATAATATGCTCACAAGTTTTACACACTTAAATGTAATAAATTAAACGTTATTGTTGTCAACACTCGGTACTAAAGTAATGGATTATAATCAATTACTTTAGTACCGAGGGTTGACAACAATAACGTTTAATTTATAGAGCGATTTTAAAATGAAAGTTTAAACTAAAACTAATCAGGGGGTACAAATAAAGATTGATTAACAATACTTTAAAAAATTACGGGATAACTAGGATGATTTCAGTCCCTCGTCTGTCGACTGGAGATGCAAACCTCATCCTTGTAAATAATAGCCTTCATTATTAGCTCTCTCATAATAATATACTATAACCCACACGGAGAGAAAAGTATAATGCTGATTACCATAACCCTTTACTATAATTTATATTACTATTTGGGACAACTATCTTGTATATGTACTATGTATATTTAGTAATTTTTTAATATCCATGTATGTTAAACCTTAAGGTAAAATATTATTATTCTCAACCAATTTTGTTTTTAATTCTTATTATAATTAGATTTTTTCCATTACTAATAAGAATAGTAAATTTTAAAATATTATGTTGCTATTTTAAATATAAAATATTTTAAAATCGAATATTTTTATAGGTTAACAATTAAAAATTATAACATATTTATTGTACTTTTTAATATACAAAAATGTTATGAGAAAGAATGGAACCTACACCTCGACAAAGTTTTTTATTTTGAGTGCGTTCCATCAATTTCAAATACCGACAAACAAATTTGACATTGACAGTTCTGACATATATATATATTTAAAATTAAAATCATCAATTTAAAATCATCTTTACTAACAGTACTAAGTGCACATGTACTTCTTTCGTAAAAGAACATTTTTGTCTAAGTTAAAAAAATATTTTGTAGCCTGAACCATGTAATAAAATATTTTATCTCCACGCGGTCTATAATTTAAACTTTATTGTTGTCAACATTCGATAAAGAAATACCTTGTTATGGCCTAGGCCGATAAAAATTTGTATGAGGTTAGTTCGATTTTTTCTCGCTAGGGGTATTGTTTTGACAAATTATTCCTTTCTTAAGAAATTAACGTACTAAACTGGTTTAATTTATTTATAATAATCACTTATTTGTTTGTTTTACTGTTAATGTTTAATATGTTTCATTAAATTATTGTAAAATTAAATATTAATAATAAAAACCGGCTGAAGGACGAAAGTCAATGGCCTTTTGAGAAATGTATTTTTTCAATAAAGAACATTTATTATTATTATTATTAATAATAAAACAAAAAGTGAGGATAGGCAACCAAGAAAACGCACGATTCTTTTTCTACGATTTAAATTAAGTTTTCAGTGAAATTAAATGTTAAACACAGCTCAAACTTTCCAAACTACCTATTTTTTAAATAAAAATCCAAACAAATTGAAATTAGATACCTACCTACTTATTTATTAAACAATTAATTGAATTCAATGTAATAGCAAAAATCCATTTCTACTTAAATCATATAGCTAAGTATCGTCAAACTATTACTGCTTCTAAAAGCAATATATTGTAATAATTATTGTACATTTAATGTAATCTTTAGCTAATAAATAAATGAGATTCTAAAAAAGTGAGGTTAGGCCGCTTTGATTTTGAATTAAATTGACCTATATAAAGCGCTTTAAAGATAAAATGTTGTATTCCATTAGGCCAAGAAGTGCCTTTTTGTGCTTCGCTCAATTGTAGGCCTTCGCTACGCGTCGGCCTTCAAACCTTGAGCTTAGCACAAAAAGCCTTACTTCTTAACCTAATGACATAAATAACTATTTTTTTATGTTTCCGTAAACAAATTAACTAGTCGCATTGAGTGCTCCGTTTTTATTAAAACCTCTATATCTTTTTGTCGTTTTCTTGGAATTAAATGCCCTTTCCATGTAACCTATGACTGATGTGTCAACCATGCACTGTCGACGGCATATTCAGTTTAAGCTATTGATTTCAAAGTTATGGACAGAAAGCTTGAGATTGATTTAGAAATACTTCACTAAAACGTAACTAAATTTCAATTTTTGTGATGTAAAATATTTCCAAGTCAACAAAATATGGAACTTAAAACATAATGGTTTTTAAGGTATACATTTTTATAAGAATACCTACACAAATAAAAAAAAATTGCTAAATTTCCTTCTGATTTCTTCTTTTCCGAGTAGAAGTATTAACTTTTTTGTTTGTTTTATTTTTTTTTTATTTGGGTTTTGGTTTTTTCTTTATAAATATTGTGTTTAAATAGAATAGTATATTCTGTAACAAGTTTGGAACAGCATATTCCGCTCGAGTGAAGGGTTTGTCACATGAGCCGAAGGCGAGTTTGACGGTTTCACGACAGCGGAATATGCAATTCCAAACGTGTTTCAGACTACACTTTTTCTACGCTTCAAAAAAAAAATAGAATAATAATTTAATTGAAAGAAAGTGAGGTTGGATCGGTCTAAAATTTGTTAGATATTAAAAACAGAGATGTCGCCACGAGTGTTTATTCTGTCATCAGATGGTAGAATATTTCATTCTGTAACACTTTACGGAATATATGTTATTCCATAGATAAAAGTAATATTAGAAGGGTCAAATTCCGTAATAGGAGTAGAAAAATAGAGTTTATTAATCCGAATATAACCAAAAGTAATATTAAAATTTAAAACATTCAGTAATATAGCCAATTTAAGGAGCGGAGCACTCAGTGCACCGCGACCACTTCTGATATAAAAATTGGCGCGAGTAGTTAAGGGATAATAATAACTTTACAAAAACATTTTTGTTAAAACTATAATAGATTTAAAGAGGACATCAAATATACTAATTAGACAAAAACCCCGTTTACTTTTAAATTTACTATACAGGTAAACATTTTATTAATATACATACTTGTAAATACAGGTAAATTAGCTTATTTATAATAATTACCTTAATAATTCATTTTAATTAACAACAATTACCTTCAGATAATGCAGATTAAGAAAACTTTTGATCTACTATTTTATAATTGTTTAATTGCGTATTAAAAAAGTATAATGTTTATTTTGTATGGCTAGCTTTTTTACACGTTCACTGTGACTTACTTGATAAACAAAGTCTCTAAAACCTAAGGTTGGCCTAGGCTGGAACTAAAATTTTCATTCTCCTATTGGTAATAAGATAACTATATAAAGTTATACTTTTAATTTTTTTTAATATAAAGATTTAAAAGGAAGGTTAAAAAGGAATGATTAAGAAGCTTACAAAAAGAGAAATGACATGAAAGAATTAAAAAAAAAAGAGGAAAAGGGAAAATAAGTATAAGAAAAAAGCAGTTTAAATTAAAATAAACTTAAAAGCTAAACCCAAAAAAGATGAAAATTCACCGGAGTTATCACACACTCAAAATATTTGGTCAAAGTAATGAAGAGCTGGTTCATATTTGTATCGCAGTACTTTGAGACGCCGCAAATAAACTATTAACATTTTCCGAGGTAAGGTCCCCTACACAAAAAGAGGATGATATCAAAAAAAGGAAAACTAACAAAAAATCGACTGAAGCTTTAGAGGAGAAACGCAAAAAGGACAGAGAAAGACAAAGAAGAAGACAATTGAAGATGTCGGCAGAAGACTTGAAAATGAAACGAGAATACGACAAAAAATACAAAAAAAGAAAAATAACTGAAGGTACATGGAAAAAGTAAATGTCATCCATGAGTGAAAGGGAAAGAAGCAAAGATCGAAAACTAGTGAGAGACAGAGTAAGAAAATGTAGGCAGAAACAGAAATAAAATACACTACTTCAAAACTTTATCCAAAATGACACACCACCCGTTAGCCCACAGCTTCCTGATGATATTCTAGAAATTGATGAAGAGAACTCGACCCCAAGATTGCACCAAAATAGAGGCAATACACACAAATTACGTGGCAGAAAAAATAAAAATTTAAATAGATCAAAAGTATACCGGCTCATAAAGAAAAATATAAAAAGAGGTATCAAAGAATGAAACAAAAATATCCGCATCACTAAACGCCAAAATATCATTATTAGTAAGTAAGACATTAGTTCATTTTTCTAAAAAGATTTCACTTGGTTTTCGGTGCACCAGTCCATACATTTTCAATACATTTCCTTATATAATAATAAAAATATATTAATTCTGGGCGATTTTAATGCCAACAAATTCATAGTTAAAGATTCAACTGATGTAAAGGCTCAATTGCTGAATGAAATGTTGGCATTTTTGAACTTAAAACAAGTAAATAATATTTTAAATCATCAGCACCGCTTGTTAGATCTTGTTTTAACCAACACGAAATGTAATATTTTTCCTAATGATTGCCCATTAACAGCAGCTGACCCATATCATCCAGCAATTGATGTATTTCTAAAAGTTGAGCATTCAAAAACAAGAATTTTTTTGCAGAATGACACGGTTAAAGCATACAACTTTAAGAAAGCAAATTATCCTGCTCTATATAATGAGTTGTTATCTATCGATTGGTCAATTTTAGATAACATTTTGCATGTAAATGATATGTGTGAAAAGTTTTATGAAACCCTGTACAGACTATTTGATAAGCACGTTCCTCGGTTCAATTCAATTAAGCACAAATATCCACCATGGTTTACATCAGAAATTATATACTCACTAAAATTAAAATCTAACTTTCTAAAAAAATTTAAACGTTCGCAGAATCAACATTACTTTGCGGAATATTCAAGACTTCGCACATTTTGTAAAAGGAAAATATCACATCATTACAAACAATACTTAATGAATATTGAGAATAATATTTGCAAGGACCCTAAATTATTTTGGAGCTTTATACAAAACAAAAAAAAATCCTCAAGAATACCTGGTGAACTGTACAATGAAAACT